ACTGTTTGTATTTTTTATTTCAATAAATAATATATAACGTAAATCTATTTGTGTTCACATTAATTCGCACAATACTTTTCCATTCATATCCATCTTATAATTTTGCAAATATGATAAATTGCTCAAATCAAAACCATAAGTTTGTTCCATGTTTATGTGTTCATATTTTAATATTTATGCATGTAATTTATTTATTGACCATATTATACACTAGTGTATACATAATAGGTCAGGCTTTTGCTAAATTAGATCTTCTCCTTCCTAAGTCACACATCTTCTCAAACCTCAGTCCCCAACACACACATATGTGATCAATGATCACTTATTATGCATATATGCTTAAAAATTATTTTTGAACGTGCTCTTGCTCCAACAAAAGGTCTTTTTGATATTATTAATACTGCTAAAAAAAATCTGACATAAATAGATTAACTGTTACCTAGGGGGAAGAAGGATACCCACTGCATTAAGAACCCTAGACTGTAAGATGTATTAACATTTTAGGGGTGGACCATTGGTGGGTTTTTTAATAAAAAGTAACTGTTATCACAATTTTGCTATATGTCTTTAACATAATTTTTATTCCTTTTAAGAACCTGTGCCAGTTAATAGACTATCTGTGAATAGCCAGAGCGAACAAGTGGAAATTTGTTGAGACCTTTGCCAATTTGACAGCCCAACAGGTGGATTTTAGGAATTGTGCTTATTTGTTACCTAAACTACATTTTCTGTGGATTTAATCTATTTAAGGTGAGAAATATTTAAAATTATATACATATATTAAGTCATATTTACCTAGGTACGTATGGTGTAATATGTGTGTATAATCCATAATTTTATTATCATAAAATTATACCAATTATTTTGAGATATTTATTAAAAAAAATCCAATTTAAAAAACCTTTAAAGTTATATTTAATTAAAATGAAATGAAACCTGCATTTATTTATTCAAGGTTATAGAAAAATTTGTTCATTTGACTTTGTTCATAAACTTTATAATAAACGTAAAAATAGATTTAATTTTACAAATCTTTATATAATTTAATTATATCTTATTTTAGGAACTTTTATAACTTATTTTGTGTGAAGGACTATAGATACCTACTAGGTACTAGCATACTACAAGCAGAAACAAGTTAAAAATATTGGTGAGAACATTATTTTACTTTTAAAATGGAAAGCCAACCAAAAAAGCGATCTATATTTTGGTCAATGTTTTGCCAGAGGGGTCCTGCTTAAAAACTATCCAGCTAACTTTCTAACTTTTGATCTACAATATACAAAAATGTAGCAGATGCTAATCAAATTCTTCATAATTGGTTTAAATAAATATAAATTTATATTAATAATTATTATTTAATACATATTTTTATTTATTTTTGCTTATTTTAGTTAGCACAAGTTATTAACAAGGGATTGCCCATAAAGTATGTTACATGTTTAGGGGAAAGGCAGACCTGCCCCCTGGGTCAAGACTGAAAATATTAAGATTAAGATTTTTCGTGTTAAAATTCGGATTTTTAGATTTTATTGTATTAAAATATAATATAATTATATTATAATATCTATCTTTATCTTCAAGTAATTATTAAATCTCAATTTTGTTGTAGAAAATCTAGATATAACTTAAAATGTATATAGGTAGTAACATTGTTTATTTTACTACAATAAAATCTAAACAGGCAAATTTATATCAAATATGTTAGGTAGTTAATTAAGTACATTATTTGTATTAAATTTAGGTTATATTGCCCTTCTATTTATGTATATATGTACGAATAAATGTTTATTTTAAATAAGTTTGTATTTTTTAAATCAAAAATAACATTCACATTTCGGGCTATGGGACCGTGTTAAAAAACTTGGGATCAAGTAGGCCGCACCTTTGTTGCCAATATTAGGATAGGAACTTTTAGTTCTATTGTGTTCTGTGACGTTACTTAAGTTTTGTTGAATGTGTCATTTTTTTAATTAAGGTTAATTCACACTAAATCTCCCGATTTTTTTGACAAAATCTGGTAACCCTGAATACACTTAAAATTTAATCTTGTTTTGTAAAATATTTTCTCAAAATTTACAGTTAAAGCCCTGTAATTTTACATTCTTATTTTTAATAGGTACAATTAATTGGCGTCCCCGAAAGGTGAAAATTTAATCGTGTAATATGGGCTTTGCATCATTGTCGTCGGTAGTTGTCAAATTTGATAATAGTTGTCAATTGCAATATCAAAAATGCTACCCCACTTAACTGAGGCTCAGAGGTCCAGGGCAATTAAAAAAAAATTGAGACAAAAAGATTGAGAAGACCAATCAGGCAAGGTGTAGGTAAAATCTCCAACGAAAATGAAGACAATGCTCTTTTCGCACATATTAGGCAAAATCCTTTCAATAGCGCAGTTAAGGTCCGAGAAGATACACAATTTCCAGGATCTCTTCGAACAGCTCAAAAAAGATTGAAACAAGCTGGATTAAGAAAATGTCCTACAGCAGTAACTGCTCATAAGGATTTTTTAACTGACAAAAATAAGCGCAGGAGTCCAGTTCGCCAATGACTATCTAAATTATGGAGAGGAATTTTGGAATGTTATATTTTCTGATGAAAAAACGTTCCAATCTTGCAATAATGGAAGGCTGCGTGTATATCGTCGCGAGACGCAAGATTTGAGTAGAACATTAAAAACCTCAAATAGTGGACGCTTTTCCATAAATGTTTTTGCGTGGATAAGCGTCCATGGTGCGGGAATATGTTGGAAAATTGATGGTAAATTAACGGCTGAGCACTATACGACGATTTTGAACAACGTTATGCTACCTTCAGTTGGACATGTTTCCAGAAAATTTTATATTCCAACTTGTTAGAAAACTATATATGAGTACGATTATAAGAACGTATGGCAGGCCCCATCGGCAACGGGTTATGCACAGCGACAGTGTCGATGGTTAAGGCCTCTTCCGGAATTTTGTCGCCGGGTTGGACCATACGCTTGATTTAGGCTAGTGGAGTGTAGGACAAGGAGGGACAATATTTTGGTTTTTGGGGACCTTAAACTGACCCAAAACAAAGTACAATCCGGACTCCCCCTCAACCAGGGTTTTAGTAATAACCCCATTCATTTGGGGTTAATAAATGGGGACTTTATTGGTTAATATGCTGCTAGGATCTGTCCTTGCTGGTTTTGAAGTACTTCCTGTTTGTCTGTGTCCTCTCTGACACTATTTTCATTGTGCCTATAAGCTTATTACAAGCACAATAAACAATATTGTTTAATTTCAACCCAACCCAACATGTTAGAAAACTATATAGTATACAAAAATGATTCTAAGAGTGGGTAAACTGTTTACCGTAAACAACAACCACACAACTGTTTTGCCATAGCCAGCTAGAAATCCTGACTTAAACCCCATTTAAAACGTGGCCAGCAAACCGAAATGAACTACGGAATGCTGTTGAAAATTCTAGGGAAGAGCTTGCTGAGTCATACAACCAAATTAAAGTTAATTTATTTGTAAAATTGTTTATATTATTGTTTGTTAAAATAATATTAAAAAAATAGAACGGTAATTCCATGACAAACGATACTGAGGGTGAAAAAATAAATATGTTCTTTTCGCATTAAATCTGAAAGAAAACATTACAAATTATGTGCGACAAAAAAACTAGAAGAAACGCGTAATTTTTAAGTTAATTAGTCTTCAAAATCTGTACAGTAAGTTAACTGGCTGAATGACCATTGTGCCTCTAACTATTGGGAATACGAAAAATAAAACTGTCAATCTGTCAACCGTTTTGCCACTTGATTTAAGGTTATTTATCGTAGTATTGGTGGATTGCGTCCCGAAAAAATTGATAATTATCACGTTATAAATGTGTTTTCTTGTTACTTTGCCAGTGTAACACCAGAAACGAAAAATCATGTAATTTTTTAATTATAATACCTTACAGATTGATAAGTGTAATAATATTTAGTAATATCTAAGCATGAGACTAATTTGATGTGTTTTTCTTGATTAAAAACTGTAACACTCGAAACGTTTCATATGTTGATATAATATATACACAGACATATTATGTCTGTGTATTGCTTAAAGAATGCAATAAGTATTATTTTTAAGGCTCTTTCGACGGCCCACTAGCGCCGCCATCGTAAAAGCAGTCACACATCTTTTAAACAGGTGTGACTGCTTTCCGATGGTATTGTCGAACTTACCGAAATTTCTACTGAAATGGCAACGGACCTACCAAAATACCGAATACTAAGATTTTAGTCAATAATTATGTTATTTTTTACGGATTTTTGGCAATAATAACCATTTTACCCTTTTTGCCGATTTATCAATCGCACCCGAAACTGCTTAAGTTATAAAAAATTAAACAAAAGCGGAGACGAAATAATTACAAGTGCTTAAGTTATGTTTAGGAGAATTTCTTCTATTTATGTTTATTTGTTACTAACTTATTTTGTAGTATCTAGAGACTAATAAAACACCGATTTTGTCCATATAAAGTGTTTAATTTTTGTACTTGTAACACCCAAAACAGAACCATGGTAACACCCGAAACAAAGTACAATTTTATAAAAAAAAAAATAGTAAAACGTTATTTGTGACAGTGATTATGTGGTAGATGGTTAGTAAATATTATACTTTTGGAGGCCTGTAATTTTTAGGAATGTTTCTCTAAGAAAATACGCTGGATTTCAAATAAATGTAACAATGGTCAGGACATAGAGGCAGAATCATTAAACACCTGAAACGCACTCTTTTCAAGTTATAAAATCGCTATACTATATGCTAAACTGTACTAATTTTACAATTTAGATTAAACAACTAAAAACGTAGAGAATAAGGCACTTTAATAGATAAAATGTTATTTCAAAATACATAACAATTTAGACGTTGGTTGGCCGAAAAAAATCCATGAGAACCAAAAATCATTCACATTTCGGGGAAGCCAATTGTACGTCAAATAGTGTATTGTGTTTGCGTTTGAAATCTTACCTCACTCGCTCTCGCCTTATCCTTGCGCAGAATTAGGTCGTCAACTGCGGTCGCCAAAGCATCGTCATCATTAAAATCATAAACATCTTCTTCCTTCTGGCAGACTGCATCCCCGTTGTTGAGCTTCCTTTTGGTGCGCCGATGCGCGTTCGCTTTCCGACGCCGCGCGTTTTTCGAAGTAGTGCGGCGAGGTCGAGCGAGCTCCACGACAAGCATCGGTTCGGGTTTTTCCGGCAGAGCGGTCAAGCCGTTCTGGTTGCAGTCGGTAGCTTGAGTTTTTGCTGGTAGGTCTTCTAGAGGGCCGCTGCTGCGCAGTGTGCGGGTTGGCTTCACTATATCGTCTGTAAAAGTTAATACGAGAATTTCAGCCCGTTTTATACGGTACAATAACACTGTGCTACATCGATTCTGACCTTTTAAAAGATACGAATTCCTATCACAGTCAGAAACAGACGCGTCGCGACGGCTCTAGGAATCCATACCTTAAGTTATCTAGTGTAGGTTCAGTGATGCCAGGTCAAGTTAAATTTCACTAGATCTAGTGATTTTTTTAACATTAAAATTTTATGGGTGTCATTCACAATATCGAAATTCATTATATCGAATTCAAAATATCGAACACTTTTTATCGAAAATCAAAATATCGAAAATACAAAATGTCGAAGATCAAAATATCGAAAATTCAAAATGTCGAAAATGTTAATATCGAAAATTAAAATGTCGATTTGAAAATGTCGAATAATTAAAGGTAGTGTCTCCCCGACCGTCGGACGGACGTAGAAAAGTGTGTGCTCGACCGTCGGACGGACGTAGAAATGTGTGTGCTCAACCGTCGCATATTTTAACCTCATTTTCAACTAGAGGCTAAATGTAGCAAAGTATTCCTCAAGGTTATGACGAATAGCTGTCATTTTGGTTATGCAGGTACACTGCATTGTGCCATACCAAACTAACCCAAACTTAACAACCCAAACCAACCGACCCCGCCCCATTGGGCCCCTCCCGCCCCATTGTCACAATCCAGCCTGCCCTTAGATATATTATACCTCTATTGCTCAATGGGGCAGGAGGAGCCCAATGGGGCGGGGTCGGTTGGGTTGGGTTGTTAAGTTTGGGTTGGTTTGGTATGGCACAATACAGTGTACCTGCATAACCAAGATGACAGCTATTCGTCATAACCTGTATGAAAGCGGTCGAGATTTTGTTTTCGATAAATTGAAAATTCGATTAAATAAAATTTCGACATTTTCAAATCGACATTTTAATTTTCGATATTATGATTTTCGACATTTTGTATTTTCGATATTTTGATTTTCGATAAAAAGTGTTCGATATTTTGAATTCGATATAATGAATTTCGATATTGTGAGTGTCACCCAAATTTTATACCGTAATTTAATTTTACATGTACACAGGCAGTTTTTAAGAGTGGGAGACGCCGAAGGGCGGTTTTCGTACTTAGCAGTAGAACCTTAATCGGCGTTGTGTGATAGTCGAAGTTTGCTCTGGAATATTAATACGAATTACGCATTATTAAGTTAATTTACTTTTAAAAATTATTCAGATACTGAAAGTATAACGTAATCACTTTTAACAGTAAATTACTAATTAATCATTATTTGTTTTGCATTTAACTAAAAGTGTTCTTATAAAAAAACGTTTAAACATAAAACACTTTTATTCAAAACTAAAATAAAATAATACTATTGGAAAAAAAATTAAAATAAATAAATCAATTCTCTTAAAACAAAACTAAAAATCAAACTTCTTAAAATAAATATATATTAATTAATTAATTAATAAAAATAATAAATTATTATTTGAACACAAGCTTTGAATAATTTATTCAAAGCTTATTTTTAAACGTCCCCCCATAATAATAATTTATTCAAAGCTTATTTTCAAACGTTCCAGCAGGGTTTTTAATCCAACTGAATTTTTGCTGGATCAACATCAATCCAGCTGGATCCAGCGCGGATGCAGCAATTTATAATTTTTTTAAAGACAATTGAAAGATTTTTTTTAATACTTATAAACTTTTATTATTATTATTATTATTCATTATTAAAACCTAAAATAGGTACCAATTTATAGAAAATAAAATAAAATTTTAGTTCGACAGCAATTAAATTAATTAATTTAATTTATTGATATTGATTACTAAAATTACTAACATATAAGAAGAGTTTTATAGATTTAAAACAGTAAAAGCATAGATAATAAAAATAAATAGGTAAAAGTTATTACTTAAAAATTAACAAGTAAACAAATGTCAAAAGTTAAAAACTATGGATATTCAAATTAACTTTGACGTGATAACTTATTTTAACTGCAGAATTTCATAGTATTTACAAGAAAAAACTCATAGTGTATGGCAACACTGTATGTTGTGCAATGTATACATAGTATACATTGCATATGCAATGCATATGCTTCACAATTGAATACGTCAATGCAGAAACTGAATATGTCCTACCTATCTAGTTTTGAGATAAATAAGAAAAACTAAACAGAAAGTGGACATATGTTCTGGACATATTCAGTTTCTCTACTATATTAACGCCTTTGTATATTCTAGATTACCGTGACATGTGAAATTTCTACGCCATTCGATCGGGCTCCCTTTACTTATAGTAAATCCATGTTTAACTCAATAGCCCTAAAAAGTGGACATATTCAGTTTCTGCATTGACCTATTCAATTGTGGTTAATGAAAATGTTGTGTCCCACCTTGACATTTGAATACAAATAACAGTGTAAGTGAGTTATTTTCTGGAAAGTATACATACAATATATAAAGTACATACAATATACAGCCCGTTCAGAGTAAAACCGAATATAGGGAAACGTATCGGGCGTGGCCTCGCCTCCCTCCAACGCGTGCACAGTAGCTAAGCAAATAGCCTGCATCGCTAATGAGATTTTTTGCATTATCATTTAATTTTTAAGGTCGTCTTACCTGCTCGACCTTTCGTCATGTCGTTTATCACACAAGCTACTGTGACGCGCGTTGGAGGGAGGCGAGGCCACGCCCGATACGTTTCCCTATATTCGGTTTTACTCTGAACGGGCTGTATGTATGTGTTGTAAATAAAAGAACGTTCTCGATTGTGCTCGGAGAACATTCGCTTTAAATGAATTCGCGCGCTTTCCGGCCGAGCACAATCAAGAACTTTCTCTTGAATATGCTCGAAAATTCTCGGCAAAATGCTCGATCGCTAAAGCGTAAAACGCGATAAAAGTGGCAACATTGCGACCCGTTTTGCGAGAATCACAGGTGGCTTGGCCGCCCTCACGCTGCATCACTTTACTGATTTGATTAAGGAAGTTCTGGACCGTTTTTCAAAATATACCATAATTTTCAAATTTCAAAACACTTGGATACAAACATGGGAGTAAATGGATAAACAATTTTTAAGTTATTTTACATTTTAATTAATGAATTATTAGTTAATGTGTAAATACATCCATAAAACCAAATTTAAACAATTTATTTCAGAAAACCCCTTTGGAAAATTAACTTAAAATTTTGTCAGTAAGCATTTTATTTATCCAAATTTCGATGACAAAAATTTGAAAATTATGGTAATATTTTAAAAAACGGTCCTGAACCTCCTAAACATTTGTATACACTGTGTGGTTTAACAAGACGTTCCATTTTTATTTCTTATGACTTTTCATTTTCTTTTGTTTGTAGTAAATGAATGATTATAAAAAATATGTTGTCCTCCCAAAATCTTTCTCTGGATCCGCGCCTGCTTGTCCTTTATTATTAAATACGTTACATAACACATTTATCCACGTATGTCTTTAATTGTATGCCCGTAACTAAATCAAATTAATGACTAAACCACAAGTATTTGGTATCATTGAAAAGCTTTATTATTAAGAAAAAAAAACAAAAGCTCTATTATTTACAAAAATACAGATATATAGGTGTCGGTCACATTCACAATGTGACCAGTATTTACCAACTCTACATAAAAGTGTTCGTCATTACATGCCATTTAAAATTAATATAATGTGTAAAAGATTACGTCGGAAAGGTGTTGCCCATCCTCCTAAATGCAAGAAATTTTTGAGTTAAAGCAAATCACTTTTGAAAATTTGCGTCCTTTTTGCTTAAAACCCTATGTGGATATTTTTCGCTAATAAACTCTTAGTACTATTGAAAGTGGCCTTGAGTGTTTTATACTTTACAATCTTAGGTTTTTTTTAACTCAAAATGGTGCAAGTACTTTGTTGCTTTAAAATCGCCGTTAAAACGGTTCGCAGTCTGAAATAACAGACCTTACAGCTGCCAATTGGGCTTTCATTAAAGCCTTTTAAGAAAGAACATTTTTATTACAGAACGATTAATTGTTTGTTGTAAGTTTCTGAAACGGCGTTTGTAACAAATCCCCAAAGATTTTGAAAGCTCGTTCTATGCAAAGGTCATTATTAAGCTATCTTATTTATGTGACCTTCTGGGAAAATCTAAAAACTCCAGTAATTGCTCAACGAGCTTTAAACAAATTATACATACTTTTAAAGCTTGAAAGCATTAAATATATCCCTTAGTTTGCAATCACTGGGAAAGTGTGCAGGGCAATAAGTATAAAATCTTTTTTACTAAACTTTCCATGGCCTCGTTGAGCTTTCCTGGCTCTTTTTAAAAAGTGGACATGGTGTTTAAAATAAGAACAAAATAACATAAAACTGACAGTACTAACCTGTAATGACTTTTCCACTCTCGTGGCAGTCGTTGAACTGCTTGTTTTGCTGTCCGCCGTCGGCCACCGGGTCCGTGTCGCTAAAAGTGCTCGGACAGCTACTGGCGTTGCTCTGCAAATCGTCAAGGAGGTTCGATCTGGAAACGTTGCGCCCCGCCGTTTGCATAAGCTCTTGGTTTGCTTGTCGCGCCTGCCTCCTGCGCAAGCGCGACGCTCTCGAGTCCGAACCGACGGACGCGTCGCCCTCTTCCGGCGCGCTTATGTCCGCGCCGTTGTCTATCACAGTTTCGGTGACGTTTGAACTCGCACACACATTTAGAGAATCTAAATGAATAAATTTACTAATCAAAGGACTTTTTTATTTCATTAACCATCCAATTTCAAAAAGGTTTAAAAAATGTTAATAAATGTAAAATTGACATAAATTGGAAAATACATAACATACTACAGGGTTTTAAAAATAATGTGCTAATACAAAAGGTTATTCCGGTAATTTTAGTTTATAAATTCACTGTACTTTATCTATAAATCTAAACTAAAATAAAATTAACAACAATACTAATACATATGAGTCAAGCCACGTCAAGAGGGACCAGAAAATTTCACGATATGACGCATATGTTTTGAAATTTGTATTTTGGTAATTTTATTAAAGTTAATAAATTTGTAGATTTTTAGAGCACGGTTATATTGAAAAAATGACGATATGACGCATATGTCTTGAAATTTGTTTTTTTTTTGGTAATTTTATTAAAGTTAATAATTTTGTAAAACTTTAGAGCACGGTAAGATTGAAAAAATAGAATCTCTGGGACTACTCTGTTTAATTAAATTAAATTTTACACACTATTGTAGCAATGTTTAGACTATTGAATGATCATTTAATTAAGGTTAATTTGTTTAAATAAAAGAATTTTATTATAAACAATTGAAATTTTTAGGGATAGAACGATACCGAAATTGATATCGGTATATCGGCATATCGGCAATTGTTTCCGATTATCGGTATCGTATCGTATCGGCAAAAAAAAATTGCGCTTTTCACTCTTCAGTGCATAAATGAAATACTTTATTAAACAAAATAAAAAATGTTATTCTAAAGGTAACATTTTTACTAAAAAAGTAAAACAAATCCTAACACCACTTACAACAAATATACCTAATGTAGCAGGTACTAAATACAGTATATACTTAATACTTAAAATTTAATTTCTTGATATTATGATGCAAAAACACCAACATTTCAGCCCTATCTGCATTTAGTCTATTTCTTTTAGGCTCGTAAAAATTACTTAATATTATTTTTGCTTCGGTCGTGTATAAATAGATGGCATTATGTTTGCCGATACGATATATCGGTATATCGGCACGTAAATATCGGTATCGGCCGATATATCGTATCGGCAAAAAAAAGTGATATCGTTCTATCCCTAGAAATTTTGTATGTGTTCTTCACGATGAAAAACGATGAAAAAATGTCATATGTAGCAAACGTTCCCGTTTAATAAAATGTACAAAAAAATGTATCCTTTATATGTAATTCCGGAGAGCTTTCCGTTAGAACGGAAAAGCTAGCAGCGAAGCGCACAGTGAGACAAAAAATTTAATATCTTCGGAATGACATATGAAAGACAAATTTTTGAGTACCGTAAATACGGGTGACTTTGCACCCCGCGGGTGACTTTAGCCCATTTATGAAAAATCTTTTCGCGCTCGATAAAATTAACATTTATAATTTGTTGGTCTAAACCTGTCAATTGAGCGATTCTATTAAGTTTATATTACAGGAAAATCAGTGTTTTAAAGAAAGAAATGGGATTTATTACACTTTAAAATTGTATATATCGTATCAGTGCAAAACTCTAGAAATACACGCGTTAAAATTTCTATATTATGCGCAATCCATTGGAATGATGATCCTTGGTTAACTACAGGTCGATTCTTTATTTTTTTATTGGTAATCCCTTGCAATAGATATATGTCGCTGCTAACACGTGTCTAATAAAAATAAAATATAATATTACATTCATTTTATACTGAAAAAACACTGTGAGACAAAGTAACCCGCAACCAGGGGCTAACTTTGCACACCCAGTTTTTAATGTTTATTTTTGAAACTCAGCCCTATGTTATATTATAACATAGTTATTATGAAAGAGCAACTCAAGACTCAAATTTTGGTATACAAAATTTAATGTTTATGATTGTTAAAACCACAAAAATTTTAAGCTGAAGTTTGAAAGTGAGCCAAAGCCACCCGTGTTTACGGTACATCTTTTTAAACGGAAACGTTTGCGCATATTATGACAAAATAAATCTTTTTCAGCGTAAAGAACACATACAAAATTTCAATTGTTTATAATAAATGTATGCAAAATTCTTTCATTTAAACAAATTCACCTTAATTAAATGATCATTCTATAGCCTAAACATTGCTACAATAGTGTGTAAAATTACATTCAATTATACAGAGTGGTCCCAGAGATTCTATTTTTTTCAATTTTACCGTGCTCTAAAGTTTGACAAAATTATTAACTTTAATAACGTTAACAAAAAAACTGAATTTCAAAAAAAATCGGTAATTTCGTGAAATTTTCTGGTCCCACTTGACGTGGCTTGACTCATATCATATAAAACGGGTGACGTTCACAATATCGAAATTCATTATATCGAATTCAAAATATCGAACACTTTTTATCGAAAATCAAAATATCGAAAATACAAAATGTCGAAAATCAAAATATCGAAAATTAAAATGTCGAAAATGATAATATCGAAAATTAAAATGTCGATTTGAAAATGTCGAATAATTAAAATTTCGAAAATTAAAATGTCGAAAATGATAATATCGAAAATTAAAATGTCGATTTGAAAATGTCGAATAATTAAAATTTCGAAAATTAAAATATCGATTTAAAAATATCGAAAATTAAAATGTATGATTAAAATCGAAGTGTATATGTACAGAGGCGCCTCTGTAGATAAAGTTACGGTTATGCACCGAATTATCTTGGCTCCCTGGCTCCTAGAGATGCGCGTTTTATAGAAATGTACTCAAACTCAACAACACAACCCAACCGACCCCGCCCCATTGGCCCCCCCCCCCCGCCCCATTGAGCAAAAAACCCAACTAAAATGGGCAAATTCATGTTACGATAAAAATAAAACACTTTTTAATTACATAAATTAGCCCATTTTAGTTGGGTTTTTTGCTCAATGGGGCGGGGGGGGGGGCAATGGGGCGGGGTCGGTTGGGTTGTGTTGTTGAGTTTGAGTACATTTCTATATCAGAGGCGCCTCTGTACATATACACTTCGGATTAAAATAATATGTCGATTAATTGAAATATTTAAACAAAATATCAAATTCAAAATAAGAAAATATTTCGACATTTTGTATTTTCGACATTTTAATTTTCGACATTTTGTATTTTCGATATTTTGATTTTCGATAAAAAGTGTTCGATATTTTGAATTCGATAAAGTGAATTTCGATATTATGAACGTCGATATTTTATTTTCGATAAATTGAAAATTCGATTAAATAAAATTTCGATATTATCATTTTCGACATTTTAATTTTCGATATTTTGATTTTCGACATTTTGTATTTTCGATATTTTGATTTTCGATAAAAAGTGTTCGATATTTTGAATTCGATAAAGTGAATTTCGATATTATGAACGTCACCCATATAAAACTACTGTCGGAAAAAATATACTAAGGTTTCTACTATTTCATTTTTATCAATCTCTATACAGGGTGTCACCTAATAAATTGTCATCCTTTGGGGGGGGGTGATAGTACACGCCAAAACAAGAAAGTTTTTTCTCTGTCATTTTTGCATTAGAGCTTCTGTTTTTTAATAAAAAAATTATGAAATTTTTTTGACAAAACCAGGTAGCCACTGGATGTCACTGACCTATCCTATATATCATCATTGTTTATACCTCTATAAACAATGGTATTATTCATCCAAGCAAAAAATAAACAGGTATGCGCACAGTGTATTATGTGATATTAAGCATACTTATTTAGCAAACTTATTTAGTACTTTGTTATCATTGATTACTGATAGTTCGGTTGTTATTGTTATTATTTTTGATACTCGTACGTCCGCATTATTCAACGCATATTCATTTACCAACGCCGAGTATACCGACATGGTCATATTTTATGGCAAATGTCATGAAAACGCGAACCGTGCCGCTCAACTGTATGCGGAGACTTTTCCCCATAAGGATCATCCTGATCGCCGCACAATCGTTCAGGTTGTCCAAAGATTGCGTGAGCGGGGCACATTCAGGCATCAGGTAGGTGATCGGGGACGTCTGCGAGGTGTTGTAGCCATCAATGCTGAACAGCAAGTTATTGACATGTTAGAAGACGATCCAACATTGAGTGTTCGAAGAATTGCTGCTCAAATTCCCGGTATTTCATGCGGGGTGGTTTGGCGAATCATTAGCGAGAACTTGTATCACCCTTACCATTTTCAAAGAGTGCAGGCCCTTGAACTACAGGTCATCCAGCGCGAGTGCTATTTTGCGATCTTCTCCTTCAGCAGGCCAGGGCTAATCCGCGCAATTTAGACTTTGTGTTGTGGACTGATGAGGACGTTTAAATTTTCATAACATGCACATTTATGCTCATGAAAATGCGCATGCCATAAGAAGGACGAACTTTTATAGGCGGTTTTCAATTAATGTTTGGACGGGCATGTTAAACAACCAACGAATAGGGCCTTTTGTACTTCCGGCACGTTTAAACGGTGATACTTATTTAGATTTTTTACAAAATGTTCTTCCTAATTTAATCGGAGGCGTACCGTTAGAGATTTTTCGCCGCATACGTATTTAGATACTGAATTTTCCAATAATTGGTCGTGGCGGTCCCACTCCTTGGCCACCTAGATCACCGGATTTAAATACGTTGGATTATTTTCTTTGGGGCTACATGAACAGTTTAGTGTACCAGACCGAAGTTGACACATTGGAACAACTCCACTTGTCACTGCAGCGGCAAATGAAATCCAAAATAATCCGGATATGATAGCAAGAGCGACACATAATTTTCTACGCCGCTGTCAACTTTGTGTGGATAATAACGGCGAAATAGTTGAACATTTATTATAATTTTGTGGAACACTTGAGATACCTAACAATAAAAAGTAAGTATTGTTTTATTCAAAGTACCTTAAAATAGCTGAGTATGCAAAACAAAAAACAATTATCAAAAAGTAATGAATGATAACACAAATATAAATTTTTAATATAGTATTTCCCACTATGCGAGCATGTTTTAGTAATTTGTCATAGGTCAGGGACAACCAGTGGCGGCTCAAAATTCCTACTTTACTAAAATTTTAATGATTTTTTTATTAAAAAAATCATTAAAATTCAAAAATGATAGAGGAAAAACTTTCTTATAATATTAGTTATAATCATAAGTTATCCTTGCTAGGAATAAAATCGCTAGAAACACGGCGTATAAACTTTGATAAAATTTGTATGTTTAAGATACTTAATAATTTGATTAACTGTTCTGATATATTGAAACTATTTTCTTTACGTGTACCTACCATCAATACTCGAAATAGTGCATTAATACATATTCCATTGTATAGAACTAATTACAGGCAATTCAGTTGTGTGCCCAGATTGGCATGTAATCTGAATTCCTGTAATATCGATATTTTTAATGTAAGCTTGTTTTCTTTTAAAAAGTACCTTATTAATAATAGTTAATTATATGTTTGTGTATTATATATATTTTTTCTTCTCTTTTTGTTTTGATATAAGTATTCTTACTGTATCTTTTTTTTGTACTACTTGGATTTTCTCTGTATGTACTAAATAAATAAATAAATAAATAAATGTTGGCGTGTACTATCCCCTTAAAGGATGACAACTTATTTGGTGACACCCTGTATAGAAAATAAAATCCTTTGTTGTGTAATTATACATCATTGTTGTTTTAAATTTTAATTATTTAGCCGACTACAGAATAGCTTTTGTGATGAATTAACGAAAAAATAACTATTGACAATACTTCACAAGAAACTGACAATCAAGTTGCATAAAAATAAATTTTGGTGTATGGGATTTAACTTGAATGATAAAAAAAAGTAAAGATAATTAAAAAAAAATAAGGCTCTTTGTGTTCTAAAAAACAGTGCATGACCAAATACTGAGAGTAGCTGAAATGATCGTTTAACGAGACTACTTTTTTAGAGTGACTTAGGCCAACATTTTAAATTTCAAAAATATCAAGAAATCAATAAGTTGATAACCATAGGAGGAAACTTACCAATATCGGAAAACTTGCATCCTTGCGCGATCAACATCTCGGCATCGTATTTGGTGAGGCCTTTCTGGCGCAGTTCCTTCATGCTGAGCGGCGTTAAGACTTTTCCGTTTTCGGGCGGCTGTAACCGCTGATTGAAAACCTCCGCCGGCTCTTTGTTATTGTTGTTCGTTTTACCCTGTACTTTTTGTTTAGTCCTGTTGATTCTATTGTCCGTGTCTCTCAGTCTGTAACCATTTTCCTCTTTCGGGTCAGCTTCTTTTGCAAACGCCCCCATTTTGCGTCGTTCGCAAGTCTCGCACTCGCAGTAGCAATTTTTATCGCCAAAGAAGTCTTCGCCATAAAAACAAGTTATTTCTTCGCCCTCTTCAATGTCTCGCAATACCTTAAGAAAAAGTAGCAAATTTATATTTGAAATGTAATGTCAAATTTAACGCACCACTAAAAATTTTCCACAATTTCAAAGTTGATTATCTCGCAAACCGTCAAACCGAATTTGGTGATTGGTGATGGTAATATTGCGTTTATTAAAATAATTTTTCATCGGCTGAAGGACTACGGTCAATAGCCTTTGAACTTGGTTTTAGTTCAATAAAGCATTATTATTATTATTATTTTTTCAAATTTACATTTTGAGTATATATATACAAGGTGCACGAGTGATAATAAGTTTTTTCCCGGAAATTTAAAACGCTCTGTGGGTTGTACCAGCTTTTACAGCATATGAGTCATATAATTAAACAGTAGCCCTACATTTTCTTTTAAGTTGTCTGCATAAAGTTATTGTAATGGAGCGCCAAGTGAGAAATTTGAATCGTGATGAATGTGTAAGAATTATTACATTGGCCGATCAAGGATTAAGCTACCGTGCCATAGCTCGGATATTGGGTTTTAATTATACCTCAATATCCCTATTCGACGTTTTGAAGAAACCAACGATCATAACAGACGTAATGGGCAGGGAAGGCATCGAATGACAACAGCCGTACATGATCGTTTCCTATTTGCTTTGAGAGAACGATACGAATTTTTGAATTAAAAAAAATAATCCTGGTATAGATTCTTTGGGAAATTTTATGCTCTACAAGAATCCGCGACGTAAAAATTTTTATCTCAAACGGTTCAAAAGTTATAGTCTTTTTAATGAAAAAAGATTTTTTTATGTGTTATTTCAATGGAAAACTAAGAATGCTCACCGACACCTTTTAAAATTGAGCAAAAAATTTTGCCTTGCAGGGTATGTAGGTTCATTTTAACCCATAAATTCGATAGGTTAGTTTTTTTGGCTCACCCTAATGGATATAATATAAATATTTTAAAATCTTTATTTTTTATTAATATCGATTAAATACTCACTGAACATAAAAAAAAAATATATTTTAAATAACATTAATTAAATATTTACTACGAATTTAAAAACAAATATATCCAAAATAATATTATCTAAATATTTACTGTATATTAAAAAAAGTATTTATTTTATATTCAATAAATATTTAAATATTTAAAAAACATTGAATACTCATTAAATATTGAATACATAATTATTGAATATTTGGTGCTACTAGGGATATCTCGTTTCTTATTTTCTTTGACAAAGGAAAAACTATAAAAACATACTTATATAATAATAAAAAAACAATAATGAAAATAATGTAGGTAAATTAAATAACATATTTTGCATATTTTACCTTAACACAAGCTGTATCCCGTCCTGTGGCAACAAACTTGCAGTTTGCCCTACAATCGTGATTAATATAAGCAGCAGGTCCCAACCAAAGCTGCGCACAATTTTTTCGGCAACTGTACATGACTGAAAAGTCGTTTTTTCCCGGATTCAACAGTTGTTTTTCCTCCTCTTCGGTTAATTCTGCTATGCAACCTACCAGACATTCGATTTTGTCGTTTTTGTACCATTTTTTTGTTGATGATATTTTTGCCCCCTTTTGGCCTTCCAATGAGTAACGAAAACATGGTTCTATTACGAAACCCGACTCTCTATCAAAAACGCGTAAATATCGGTAAATCTAAAATATAATTTTCATACATAAGTTTCAATTTATCCAATTTTTTTAAATAAAATTAAAGATTTTTTACGATTTTAGAGTTTATCTTTATAATTGAAGGGGCCCTTACTAAAATAACAAAATCATTGAAATTGATAATTTATGTCATTTATTTTTATTAAAAATTTTTTTTTAAGAAGTAATGGCTATTATTTATCATTCATCTAATTTAAACTAATAAATATCAACACATATGTTAGACACAATGGGCTATTATGGGACATTTTAAATAAAATGTGGAATGGGCCATTCCACAGATCATAAAGGCACATTATTTGCTTTATTAAATGTAGCATAAACTCTTCATCCACTTGCCCCTTTAATTAAGACTAGTGATGGAAAAAACGGTTCCCAATCCGGAACGTACCAAACCGTTCCGTTCCTAAAAAATCACGTACCAAAATCACGTGATTTCGGAACGTAGGGTAAATGATTTCACAATACATGCGAGTGGAATCCACGACACGACGTTGCTGGGCTACATTTTGTCTGTACACTATATTATAGTGACTATAAGGTTTAAGGAGGTCCCTACACTATCAATATTATTGCACAATATGTTGTATTAAGCAATTTAGTTAACATTCTGTTGACAATATTGCCTAATTTATTTATATTGTCTGATTGCCTAGGGACGATAATCAATTTTTTGTGCAGTAATATTGAGCAAAATATTTTTTAAACGTCTAGGGACCCCTTTAACCCTTTCAGTCCCAATGGGTTATATAAGTCCCAGAGGCTGTTTAAAGAATTCCAGAGGGTATTACGCGCTATAAATTAAACCCGGTCGATGTCCCACTGGTTTTAGAGATCGTTTTAACCCAAAATTTTCGCGCGCCAATTTTTGAAATCGATTAGTGGGTTAGTTATTAGTAATTAAAGCACGTGCTGGTTGTTTATACTTCTTTATTTGGTGTTTTTTGATATAATATATGTGAAAAAATGTCAAAGTAAGTTTGTAAATGTTTATTTATTACTATAGAAACTTTTTTATGTATGTAAAATAGCAAATATAGCGTAATTTTGTAAAATTTGTTGATGGGTTAAATAGGTCCCAGTGGCATTTGGCAGTGGGATATGTTTGTCCCAGTGGTAATACTAGAAGTAGTTTGTAGTTTTCCATTTTTATAAGAAAAAGGAGTTGGCAGAGAATTTGTCTGATTTGGAAGAGGAACCATTCGATGATATTGGTTCAGACTCTGCCTCAGATGCTTCAAGTGATGAATTTTCGCGACCATTGATAAGAAAGAGAAAAACTAAAGATGATAGTCGTTCAGAAATTTCTTCTCCCAAGATGATAAGAGTTTTATAACAAATATATGGAGGGGAACTGTACCAAGAAAAAACAAGAAAGAAGAACCAAAACAATTTGTGTTGCTTGCAATCTACCACTACACTGTTTTACTGCTTATCACACCTGTTATAAAAAGAAAACCCGATTTTCTATAGTTCTTTCTTTTTTGTGTCTTCAAAATTAGTACTAATGGGACATATATGTCCCACTTTAAGTACCTATTGGGACATATATGTCCCACTTTAAGTACCCATTGGGACATATAAATCCCGGACCCCCCAAAAGCCCCCCTTTGCTAAATAAAATTTTAAATTATATTTTTTAGTTCCTTGTGATCAATATCAAAGGAACATAACAAAATCGAGACATTTGAACCAAAATAATAAATTGGGACTGAAAGGGTTAATACACAAAAATCTGTTGATTCCTTGAATGTTTTGTCTATATCTAATAAAGATTATCTAGTAAGATAAAACCTTCTTAGTAACTTTTGGTATTATAGTTTAATAATTGTACAATATTAGGTATATTGGATTCCATCTACCCTACCTAACAAACTTAATTTTTTATGCACCGTTCCAGCGGAACGATTCCACCCGCCTCGTTATATTGGTTATATGAACCGATAAAGTTCAGCTCAAGTCGGCGCGCCGCGAAAGAAACGAAACGAGGTAACTGCGCCTTTAAACAGTTCCGACGTTAGCGACGTTCCATGTTTCACGTCGTTCCCGTCCCACTCGCTCCGTTCACTCATTCGATGGTCGGATTCTCTGTTTCTATTCAGTTCGATCCGCTGTCACATCGTTCCGATATATTTAGGAACGTTCCGGAACGTGATTTAAAAATAACGTTCCAAAATCACGTTATCAAAATCACGACCATCACTAATTAAGACATATTTTTTGTACATATCGTCGGCCGTATCACGAAGTGACCTAACTAGCATTTTGAAAAGAGCAGAAAAACAAAAATGAGCGTTATTTATATCGACGTTATATTTAAAGTTTTAGTTTGCTGTGTTGTCTGTACTCTGTACTTTCATGCCATGAGCTGAGGTGATACACAAATGAGCAAAATGCATGATAGACCACGAGCCAGCAACGCTTTTCGATAACTCATTTCAACAGTTGTGAAAATTGAGCTACTCAAACTTATATACCTGGTGAACAATAAAAATCAAGTCTGGCAGCCCGCTACGGCCGAGTTTGGCACAGTATGGTAAAATCGCTAAAAACAGATAATAGTGGTAGCTGTTATTCTAGACTTTAAACTTTAATTATAGGGATTTTTAACGAATTTGAAGTATAATTTTCAAAAAACAAAATGGTGAATTAAATTTTGCGAACTTTTTTTTTAACTAAAATTAGTTACTATACAGTTTGGGTTATTATTAAAAACTTAAGGGTTTATTTTACAAAAACCAAAATGACGGATCCAATATAGAGGATATAAATTATAATGCATGTGGGTAAAGTCTTGCTAATAACGAACTTAAGGTCAATTTTACAAAGACAACAATTTAGCACTTAAAATTGTCATTTCCAATTTCGTGCTACCAAGATAAAAACACAAAAATATGACAGTTTTAAAACTTAATTTTAACACTATAATAACAAATTAACAATTTATATTGTTACTTTTATGTTGTTTTTGTTTTCAATAGTACTTTATTTTGTAAAAAAGTATTAATTTTTTAATTAAAATAAAACGTTTTTATTTTTACTAAATCTCCTAGATAATCTCTTAAAACGTAACTATTACTAACAACATCCTCTGTGTATTTTACCCATCTTTGTAAGGAAAAGGTAAGCTCAATAATTCTTGCTAAATCCAACAATGAATGTATATGAACAAAATGGCGAAAGCAACAAAAAAATACCACAACCACGCTATTTTACAAAGAAAGCCAATGTGGATCCTTTGAAGTATGAATGAAATCTAATAAAGAACTGCATATTGGAAGATACAATCACATATCTATTAATATGGATATATTTAACCTTGGCATTCAAGATATATCCATGATTTAATCCAAAGGCACTAACAGAGTAAGTATTAATTTTAAAAATTATACGGCAGCAAACAATTTTATGCAAAATAAAGATACAAATCGAAACAGATATAATATATACATTCCTTACAACCGGGTCACATGTAAAGGGGTTGCAATCAATATTGACATTATTGAACAGGAACTTGCCAGTGCAATAACTTCTCCTATTAAGGTAACACAAGTTAAAGGCTAAATAGAAGGGTAAAAACGGACAAAGTAGAATATTTAGGTAAGCCAATTTAGCATATGAACCATCAGTTACAGTCCTTTTCACCTTCGAAGGGACTATATTACCTAAATCGATGAATGGCATATGAAAGTTTATCATACTTGCATCGGAAAAGTGCCTAAAATCCTATCTCCCAACTCCTGAGTTCAGGGCTCACCCTCTGGACTTCCCCAGCCTTCCTAGATTTAGATTTTAAACAGCAAGCTCCCAAGCTAACAAAAACTCACCATCCCCATTAAAAAAAAGAAAACAATCACTTAACAGGGATTTGATAGATCCTCATATGAATCTTATTTAAACTCCCCAAACGGGAGAACACTGGATTCTCCAACCTCCCCCTTCACTAACAACACACCTGGCCAATCTAAATCCTTAGATAGCACCAATAAAGACTTTAACACTTTTAAAAAATATTTACTTCCCAGGAAAAATTATCTCAATAGACAATGAAATGTCTTAATCCTCTCGTTCATGAAAGTACTCCAGTGAAACATCCGCAGTATTAACTCAAACAACCACAATTTAATACAACTAGTGAGATAAGTAAACCCAGACATAATTACCCTAAACGAGACGTGGCTTAAACAGAGTTATTCCTTTAGTATTACAGGCTACGAAGTACTAAGAGCAGACAGAGCAGACGGCTATGGTGGAGTGGCAATACTAATAAAAAATAATATAAAATTCCAAAAAATTAATCCAGTAATTAACAACCTTAACAATATTCAATATATCACAATTAAAATTTAAATTGAATAAACCTCTGCATTTTGAACGACGGCAGTGATCCTAGACTAAGAACCCAATTAGTAATTGCACTCAAGTCTCACTGGGAACGCATCCCAGATAGTGGATTTATGCAAAGGTGTAAAAATTGCAGTTTCCAAAGACATGCACAAAAATATAATTTTATCCGACTCTTTTAGTGCCTTAAATAAAATAACATGAATTGTAATGCAAAGGATGACTATTAGGGTGACCGCAAAAAATCGATGTCGGAATTTTGTTCGTCTGGACCCCACAAAACGATTCACCTTTCCAGATATTGAGATAGACGAAATTTGAGCTCGATTAAACGACGTTAACCCGTGCCGCTCGTCGCTCAAAGTTTGAAAAAATCCAAATTTTTGGTCAAAAAGCTGACATATGGAGCCATAACTCCAGAACGGTAAATAATAAAAACCCGCTTAATATCTCAAAAGGAAGCTAATGTTGTTCTTCAAAATTTATATTCTATACATAATTGTTGTTATTTTAAGTCAAACAGAGTTACAACAGCCTTTGACCCCAAAAACGTGCCCTGGCAGCATTAGGAGCCAGTTTGGGTGTATTCTAAGAGTTTTACGGGTTTTTACATAATGTGTCTCGGAATTAACATTTTTTAT